GCAGCCATTTTCCACTCAGCAATAATTGAAGGGAATGGCTCATTTGAAGTTTAATCCATGAGAATCACCGTCCCGGCATGCTGGCATTGTTTTTTGTCCTCGCGGTGACCTCTCAGGGCTCCAATCCCACGTCTCGGTATCAATGCAAACTGTCCCGTGGGATTGGGCACTCCCTAATCTACCTTCAGGAACCCAGCAAGATTAAATAAAAGATGCAAGATTTATTTACAGGCCGAGTGGGATGCTGCAGTCTTACATTTCTCTCTTGCGTGGTTCAAAAGGTCTTGCCAAAACTCCCGCCAGTAGCGGAGAAGTTCGAATGATGTTGTTTAAGTCATCCATCTAGGAAAAGATGGCAAAGATCAGGGAGGATAGGAGTGGGTGAGACAGAGATAAATCTTCCAAGAAAGAATCTGTTCTTCAGAAACTATATCACTGTGGCGATCACACAGGGTCCCCGGATGTTTAACGGTCTGTTGATCCCTGTGCTAGCTTCCCCACTGCCACCAACCCGTTACTCTCTGGTAAAACACTGAGTCCAGACAGTTGTTAAAAGTGAACCAAAAAAAAAGTTTATTTTACAGACATTAACAAGGTTATGGTTTCTCCGATAATATTCCTGTCAGTATCTTAATTTTAGTTTCTTATTGGCCTATACCTTCCTAATACCTTCTGACTGATTATCTCAACTGTTTGACTGACTCTTCTTAACATATTCTCTCACTCTCTCACACCAGACTAGCCCAACCCATAGACTTATCTTATCGGTCTCTTCTAACTCCAGACTGTCTTCTCTACCCTAACTCTAACTCTTTCCAAAAAAACCCCTCTGTGCTTAAACCTTATACACAGTTAACTCTGCCCCCTGGGTTCCCATTGGTTGGTCATTTTACAATTAGTTAACCCTTTCCCTGTGAACCCAGTATGATGTCACACACCTAGGAGGGCAAACGCTACAATCACAATTACCCTTAAATAAATAGCCATTTCTAAGGGCAGAGCCACTTCCAAAATCACCTCTGCCATGTTAATTTGAAGCCTGGTAACCAAAGCTGGATTAAGACATGCTGAAACCCTTGCTAGATCCAGACACATCAAAGAAGCGTTTCAGTTAAACACGTTGTAATTTTAAACAGGGAAAACAGGTAGAGAAAAACGGGACTCCACAGTGCCATCTGGTGGCACAATGTTATATCACATGGACAACGCATATAAATCGCTTTTTCTTTACAGATCTAGCTGAGTCCCCTAAGGCATGTCACGTTTTAAGAGGACCCACAGAATTAACGCCCACCCTGCAAAAGTATCTTATTTTAACAGGAATGTCAATGAAAAGGATAGTGTCAGTTTCCCGTGTACTAAGTATGTAAAACTTGTAATTCAGGTTTTTTGAATTGTATTTAGAGGCCCCTTATAATCTGAATCCCTAAACTAGTGCTTCTCAAACTTTTTCCTCCAGGCCACACTTTCAGAATAAAACTTTGCTCGCGCCACACCAAAATTTTAATTGAGAAGAAATAGATTGGAAAACAGAAAGAAGCAACTCTTAGCAGTGCTTGTTTTATAACATAGAACACTTTATAATATTATCATGACACATTCAGAAAATATAAAACAATGCAACTACAGAAGAACATGAATCATTTCAAAAATATAGTTATAAACGAGTCTCTTACGTTTGTACCTTAAGTATGTAGGCAAACTCAGTAAGAGGTCTGGGCTTCCTTTTGCTGAGAATCTCATTTATATTAGGTCTAATTTGAGACAAACAAATTTTCATCTCGTCATCAACACAAAGAAGCCTTTCTCTTTTCTGATCTCTCATGTTTGTCACAGTTGAAAATCCCATTTCACAACAATATATAATGTAGAACTGTAGAAGAATAGCCAATGCTCTTGAAGAGCAGTGTGGATACTGTTTTTAGTTGTGTGTGTGTGTGTGTGTGTGTGTAGCTATTATACTATACCACTCTGAAATGTTTAGATGTTTCAAGAAACCAGAGGCCTTTCTCCTAGGCATAGTCGGCCAATTGGTGCCAAAGAAGGACAGAACTTTTTTTATGTACGCCACAACAGCAGCAAGAATATTCATTGCAAAGTATTGGAAGACACAAGACCTACCCACTCTGGAAGAATGGCAGATGAAGCTGATGGACTATATGGTTCTGGCAGAAATGACTGGCAGAATCCGAGACCAGGGAGAAGAGTCGGTGGAAGAAGATTGGAAGAAATTCAAAGACTACCTACAGAAATATTGTAAAATTAATGAATGTTAGAATGATGTTGGATAGAAATTAAGTGGTTTCCAGCTGTAATGCTTTAAGGGAATATGAAAAATGGGTTGTTAATAGGTAAAAATCTAATGTTACTATTTTAAGACCAAAGATTAGGATAAACAAAGAGGGTAAGGATTTGCTGAACCAACAAATTGAACTGGAATACAAAAAGGGGAGGTATGAGGAGGTCCGGGAAACAAGCTAAGGAAAAATAAGTAATGGAAAAATTGAGTGGTTTTTTAATCATTTTTATTTTGTATTTTGTATTTTTTTCTTTTTTTCTTTTTTTCCCCTTTTTGTCATTTTTATATTGTAACATTTGGAAAATTTCAATAAATATCTTATAAAAAAAATATGAAATGTTTAGATGTTTCTTTGATTGTCCTTGAATCCCATGCACACCAGTGGAGCACGTCACACGCTTTGAGAAACACTGCCCTAAACTGTAGCTTATTTAACTTGTGCATAATCTGGCACTGCTTGTAAATGTATTTTGTGCACATTATGCCCATGTTGTGATGATTGCTGGGAGCACTTTCTCATGAAGACAGAATGAGGCTGTACGTAAGAAAAGTTCTCACTGTTCGGTTCTTGTAGGCCTTTGAGCAAGGCCTGGGGGTGGGGGCGACTCACCTTTCCCAAGAATTTCCAGCATTGGACCATTTGGGGATAAGGATGCAGTGAAGAGGTTCAAAAGCTATGGGGTCTACAGCACGATTCGTCAACAGATGGGTTGGGAACCTCTACTAGGTTGTGGTGGGTCACAGCAGCATAATAAAAGGCTGGAGGCTGTTGGTCTACAGGACCTAGGACAGCTCCTGGAGATGACAAAACAACTTCAAAGCTCAACTGATGGAAGGCACTCTGTGCCACTGAGGCCACCAGTGCCTCAAACAACATACAACGGATTTCGGAGTACCTCCAAGCTACATACCTGCTCCTTCAAAGGGAGTGTAACTCATCAAGAGCAGAACACTTCCTATCCATCCAGTCTAGGGAACTGCCCACTAACAGTCACCTCAGTCTTATCTAAACACAGTGGTAGAATAATGTAACATAAAACATATGACAATGGTACGAGATTACACACACACGCAAAAATAAACATAATTTTGCATACATCAAAACTTAAATGAGCAGAAAGCTGGTCAGTATGTTACATAAAAATGTCCGATAACCTCACATCCAGAAGTACCCACAAGTTGTTGACATTAGTACCTAGCTGCCACCTTCCCAATCTTTCATGCCTCAACCCAGAAGGGCCCTGCAATTTTTTTGACAAGCAGCTGACCTAGAAAGACCCTCCAAATGCTATCCAAATGCGATTTTGGATTTAAACGCAATGTAAGGTAGTTTCTATGGGAGTATATTGTATTTAATTATGGGGTATCAGAGTTTTTAGGGGGCTAACCAGGCTGGGAAAGCTGGGATAGTAGGCTTGTTGGTTTTTGAATGTCTGATGTAGATTTTTTCAATTTCGTTGACAATAAAGATTATTGTATCACAAAGCTGGAGGGTGGGGTAAAGCACTTGCCCCCTGGTAGTAAAGGCAGAGTGTATGAAACACACAAATTGGTGTTCTCCGGTGTTCAGAGACAGGCAAATGTTCTGTTGCTCTGTTGAAACGAAGCGCTTGCTGGAAGATTCCCACGTTACTTTGGTTAAGCTTTTCCATTTTCTTTTTTTTGCTGGAGAGGATCACCGGATCCGGATCTGTCATTACTATTTGCAGAATAGTAATGTTCCCATGGTACACTGTCCCTTCTTAAAAGATGCTGCACACATGGAGTACCACATGTCCCGGCCGTTACTATGGCGATGGGAGCACAGGTCTCTTGCCAAACTCTAGAGAGGGGACCGAAAGAGAAAGGGATATGAAGCATGAGGAGGAAATTGAGCAGAACGTGGAAGGGTGTCATTGTTTTTGCTCAATTGTTTATAATAGCAGCCTTTATATTGGCAGGGGCAGCTCAGAGAATGAGCTGCTCTCTGGAAGGCCACCAGTTCAGTTTCACTTGGTGGCCAAGAGCAGTCTACTATCTTTCAGCCTCAGTCTGTCCCTTCCACTTCTGCAGTATGGTGATAATAATAATAATGCTGGAATACCGTTATAAGACTTGCTATGAGAGTTCTATGCTGAGAATTGCCTTGAGTTCTGAATGCGTACTATATGAATTCTGGATGTTATTAAAGTCTGTTACTGTCAGGGACTGGGCAGTGGAGAGGAGGAATGGTGGATACCACCTCCTCAGCCTGAACCTGCCAGCAAAGAGGGAGACAATATAGATTTGCAGCAGTGGTTTGTGGAAGGTCACAGCTCAGAGGCTGCAAAGGGGAGAAGCTGGGAAATATTGGGAGAGGAGCAGGAAGAAGAAAAAGAAGAAGCACCAGGCGAGAGACAGCCGACAGACTCAGTGTGTTTGGAAAGCATGCCGGACTCCCCCTCTCCCAGAACACAGCAGGCATTGAAAGTAGGAGAACAGAAAGCTCAGAGGCAGAAAACGCAGATCAGCCAACGTAGAGATGGCGTATAGTAGGAGAGACAGAGAGGGTGGGGCTTTACTCGAAGCAACACCATTACCCAGAGAGGCCACATTTCTAAGTCTCTCTCTGTGAACATTGAATAAAAGACATTGGTAAGAGCTTCTTGTATATCTTTACTGGCAGCCTGCTGTGAGGGGGAGAGATCAGATTCCCTGAAGCCTGATAGTTACCTTGGAGAAAGGAAAATAGCTCAGTGGTTGGGCATCTGCTTTGGGCGCAGATGGTTCCAGGTTCAATCCCCAGCATCTCCAGGTAAGTCTTACCTGGGAGAGCCACTGCCAGTCAGTGTAGACAGTGTTGAGCTAGATGGAACAATGATCTAACTCCATTGAAGGCAGCTTTCGTGTTTCTATATTCCTGTGTAGCCTGAGGTCTTGTGGATAGGGAACCGCAGAAGACCAAAGAAAATATATAAAGACTAGAACATTACATTTTGAAATAATAATAATAATAATAATAATAATAATAATAATAATAATTCATTATTTATACCCCACCCATCTGGCTGGGTTTCCCCAGCCACTCTGGGTGGCTTCCAACAAAAGATTAAAAATACATTAAAACATCAGTCATTAAAAACTTCCCTAAACAGGGCTGCCTTCAGATGTCTTCTAAACCTGACCACAGGTATGAAATTTACGGCATGTAATGCCTTAAGAGAGAATATTATGAAAATGATATACAGGTGGTACATAACCCCAGTCAAGCTTGCAAAAATTTACCATTTGCCTGATAATAAATGTTGGAAATGTAAGGAAATTGAAGGTACATTTTTTCACCTTTGGTGGACGTGCCCAAAGATTAAGGCTTTCTGGGAAATGATATATAATGAATTTAAAAAGGTATTTAAATATACCTTCTTGAAGAAACCAGAGGCCTTTGTCCTGGGCATAGTCGGCCAATCGGTGTTAAAAAAGGATAGAACTTTCTTTATGTATGCAACAACAGCAGCAAGAATACTCATCGCAAAGTATTGGAAGACACAAGAGCTACCCACACTGGAGGAATGGCAGATGAAATTGATGGACTATATGGAATTGGCGGAAATGACTGGCAGAATCCGTGACCCGGGAGAAGAGTCGGTGGAAGAAGATTGGAAGAAATTTAAAGATTACCTACAGAAATATTGCAAAATTAAAGAATGTTAGAGTGATGATGGATTGAAATTAAGTGGTTTCTAGCTGTACAGGCTTTAAAGGTATATACAGATTAAGATTAAGGATTAGGATTAAAAAGGTTAAAAGAATGGAAAATTGGCTATTAATAGGTAAAAATTTAATGTTATATTATATTAAGATTAAGGATTGGGATTAAAAAAGAGGGAAAAGAATTGCTGGACAAACAAACTGAATTGGAATACAAAAGAGGGAGGTATGAGGAGGTCCAGGAAATAAGTAAATTCAAAAGTAGTGATGAAAAGGTGGAATTGTTTTTAACTGTGTTTTTTTTTTCTTTCTGTATTTTGTATTGTGTATCTTTCTTTTTACTTTTAAATTCTTTTTTTATTGATGTGTCTCTTTTCATGTGAAACTTTAATAAATATCATTTTTAAAAAAAACAGATGTCTTCTAAACGTCAGATAGTTGTTTATTTCTTTGACACCTGATGGGAAGGTGTTCCACAGGGCGGGCGCCACTACCGAGAAGGCCCTCTGGCTGGTTCCCTATAACTTCACTTCTCGCAGTGAGGGAACCGCCAGAAAGAAGAACAAACAGTTCATATTTTATGGCTTTTTATTCAGTCATCTGGCTGCAAGGCAGAAGATCCAGGTTTCCACGCATAGGAGATGTTGGCTACTCAGAGTCCCCCCTCTTCAGTTTTCAACAACATCTTGGAAACCTATGGGAAGTTACAGGAATCACATCCGTCCGCATTCTCTGTTCTTGAATGCAGAGGGACCTGTGAGCCTTTGGACTAGGAGGGTCTTCAGGGAGGTCTCTGCTATCTGCTCTCTAACTTCCCCCTCCTCATCCTCCACTATCACGTAACTAGGCAATTCCTCATTCACCTGTACATCATCCCTGTCTCCTTCTCTTCCTGAAACTGCTGGAGACAGTGAGGGAGAAACTTCCCACTCCTCCTCCTCTTCTGAGATTAGCCAATCAGACCGAGGGCTCGTTTTCCATTCCTCCTGTTCAGTCCAGTCCCTGACAGGTAATAGGAAACTCTGGACTGCTTTTCGTTCAGTAATGTGTGGGACTTGGTCAAACTGAGATGATACGCTATGTCTTCAGCCATCTTGAGACTATCATGTATTTTAATGTATTTTTAATCTCCTGTTGGAAGTCGCCTATAGTGGCTGGGGAGGCCTGGCCAGATGGGTGGGGTATAAGTAATAAATTATTATTATAGTATGAACAAGACCACATAGCTGGTCCAGTACTGATTTTTACTGTCATTAGTAGAAGAACCAGCAGTACAGAACCTGTGGTCCTTCAGATGTTGCTGGACTCCTCCAACTTCCATCAGTGCCAGACAGCATGGCTAGTGGTCAGGGATGATAGGAGTTGTAGTGCAGCTACATCTATAGCAGGGGTGTGTGTTAGGAGATCTTGCATCTTGGGTGAATTAGATTGAAGTAATTGCTAACACTTACTGGAATTCAAAGGCTTTATTCATGCAGAAACAATTTAAAGGAATAATAATGATGAGAGATAGAAACAACAGACATCTTGTCTCAACAAGCTAGGAGGGAACAACAAACAAAAAGCTCAGATTTTGTGAGTGGAGTTAACTTTGACCGATATTTTTATTATTATTATTATTAGTGCTATTTTTCTAGAAAAAGAAGTGCGGGAACTCACCATGAACACCTCCTTTGTTCTCTTATAATGGCAATGGCCTTCACCTGAGAGGTGTTGGAACTGAGTTCCGGTGACTTCCGGCTGAAAAAAGCTCTAATGGTTATTATTATTAAATTTATATACCTGGGCTAATCATGCACTCCCAGCTTAGCCTACATAACAGGGTTCATGTGAGGAAAGTGAGGAAAGTGGGGTGGGGGAGACCATTGACATTGCTTTGAGCTCCTTGGAGGAAAGGTGGAATATAAATAAAATGTATTAAGAATAAATCAGATGAATTAAACATTTTTAAATTAAACATGTTTAAATTAGAATGAGCACAATCCAGTCCAAGGGGCATATTTCTGTCTCATTGTTTTCAGCTGGAGAGATCTAAGCAAATGCTCCCACTGAAAGCAATGTGATTTACAAACATTTGCACACACTCATCAGCAAATCAGTATCGTTCATTTGCACAAATTTGTGATTCTTGTCTCTAAAAAAATAATAATAAAAAGGGAAACTCTGAAGGCAAACATTCAAAGCCAGGCTCTTTACTTCCTGTCTTTTAGATTTTTCTAACATGTAAATCGACCATTACAAAGAGGATTAACTACCAGAATTGAGTGACTGGACTGCAACATTCAACCCCATTTTCTATTCACAGCCAGGCAAGACCAGGTGCCCAGAATCCTAATGCCCATCTTTTGAGTTTGAGCTTATCTGATCTGCATACTAAACACAAACTTCAATTGTTTTTCATCTTTAATCCATTGGTGGCCTTAAGAATGGAGTATTTTACTGCTAATTGTCCTTTAAACAGCTAGAAGAAAATCTGAAAGCAATTGGGAAGCCAAACACACATTTTACTGAAGGACAGGGATTTTAAAAGAATCTACTTACTTGGTTTCATGTTGCCGTTTATCCGTGACACCACAGTTTACAGGAAATTAGGAGATTCTTCTCTCTTAGCAAAACTACAGTCCCAATTTCAGTCACTTTTTCTTGAAAGTTCATTGTTAAATTATTGTGCCATAGTTATACGTACACACACACACATACCAGTGTCACTCAACACTTTTGTGTAACAGTAATGATACATACTTTGCAAACTTTTTTTCCACAGTTTGTTTTTCTTCTTATGGCATGCTAATTTTGATTTAAGTTTTTTTAAGTGTATGCATTATTATGCCAATAATTATGATGCATATCCCAGTTCTGAATAAATCTGTTTTTAAAAATTGCCTAGGTTTTATCATCCCTCTGTAATCCGTGAGATTTGTTATCATTGCATGTTCATGCATATATATTTTTTTACTCTGCAGAGCACATATTTGTAACTACAATCATATACGTCATGAGATTAGTTCTCTTCACTGTGTGGTTTTTAATGTAAGGTGCTTCAAATACAGAGACAGCAGCATATAACTATTGCTTGGAAATTCTTTTTTAAAAAATCACTGAAGTTTTGAAATCAGTGGAAAAATCAATGCAGTTTTGAATAGTTCAGCCCACCATCTTGATTCATAATGGCGTCTGGTTGTATCCAAACATAGATAAAAGCCTGCTCCTTGATCTCAGGAACCATCATGCAAAATTTGGTTACAATATCCTAAGAGGTGTCCAAATACATAGACAACAGACAAACAAGGTCATTTCCAAAATATATAGTAGAAAATAAACAAGTAAGCCTCCACCGATTTCAGTGGGATTTACTTCTAGTGGGAGCTAGAGATATGCTTTCCAAAGAAATACGCTTAGCATTGCACCCTCTGTTACTGAAGTCATTATTCGGGCTCAACATTCGTATAGGACTTTCTCTTGTTCTAAGCTCTTTACACAGCTCCTTGTGCTCCTGTTCTTACAAGAACCCTGAAAGGCAGGCCAGTATTTACCGTATTTTTTGCTCTATAAGACTCTATTTACCGTATTTTTTGCTCTGTAAGACTCACTTTTCCCCTCCTAAAAAGTAAGGGGAAATGTGTGTGCGTCTTATGGAGCGAATGCAGGCTGCGCAGCTATCCCAGAAGCCAGAAAAGCAAGAGGGATTGCTGCTTTCACTGCACAGCAATTCCTCTTGCTGTTCTGGCTTCTGAGATTCAGAATATTTTTTTTCTTGTTTTCCTCCTCCAAAAACTAGGTGCGCCTTGTGGTCTGGTGCGTCTTATAGGGCGAAAAATACAGTACCTCTTCAGTGATGCTGCTGCTTAAGATAGCATTGTGTCAAACTAAGTCATAATCTGAGTAAATCCATTGAAATAAATATATATGTCTATATTATAAAGTCCATTGGTTTCAGTGGGTCTACTCTGATTATGACTTAGCTCTGTACAACTATCTATGAACACTTACCTAGGAGTAACCCACTTTGAACACAATAGGGCATGCATAAGTACGTGCTCTTAGTCACGAGACATAACATTAGCCCTCAACACAATAAAAGCAAGGCCATCCCTTTTAAAAGACTC